GCAAAGCAGGTCATGGACTCTGGATGCCCGCCTGGGAGGAGGGAGTAGTCCTCAGACAGACAAACAGCGGAGCAGCCATGCTCCCATGCTGACCTGTCGTCTAACCCAGCGTCCTGCGAAGCACGCAGTCAGCCAAACATTTTGCAGTGAAGCATCTGAGAAGGGCTTTTGTGAGGAGCCGGGGGGACAAGCGATGAAGGGAATGGACGGTGGGTCAGCAATAAAGCTCGCTCAGTGACCAGCCTGGAGGTTCTCACAAGGGGCAGTGGAGCAGGAGCTCCACTCCCCACCCCACGCTAATTAAAGTGACAAATGAGACTGAAGCAGCCACGTTGCCACTCCCCATCTTTGAGTCAACCTCAGATGCAGCTAATGCAGCCATCTGCAGTCTCTACCACCAGTGACAGGTACAGGCCATTGTGGGACGTGCGTGGCTGGCTGCTTACACCCGTGCAGGACCCCGGCGGGTCCTGGCGTGGAAATGAGGACTTGCCAGCAGGGACCCCATGCCGTGCCGAGGCCCGGATGATTCTCACTTTGGTTTCTCGCTTCCCTGCACCCACGTTAGCTCCCCTTGCAGCGCCCAAGATGCATAAGGACTGCACTGCTTTGAAGAACAATCCTGAGCCGTGGGTGCAGGAGGGAGGCTGCTAACCTGCTCCCACACCACACAACCTCTCCCCAGCAATCTGCCCCCTCCAAGCCAAGCATTGCTTTCAACTGTTTTGTTTTGTTTTGTTTTTTTTTTAAAAGCTACACCCCCTAAATATTTCTACTGGTCGCAGATGAAAAACAACACAACCCCCACTTCTTCAAAGACCATTTGATGACCCGATGGTGTCATTTCAAAAGCCATCCAAGAGCAACTGAATATTTGAAGTGAAGAGCTTCAGAATATCATTTCAAATCACTGTTGGCAAATCTATGTACAGTAAAACCAATATATCACCATCCTCAAAGACATTATACACAGCAGGCACCACCTATCTAAGCCACTGAAAATATCACTGTAGGTCACACCAGCTACAAGACTGCTCTGCTCAGATCGCATCCCACACCCTTTAATATTGAAACTATACATTCCTTCTCCTGTTTTTAATCACGAGTTGAGAGGGAGAGCAGTCTTGGCTTTTGGGACTTCTCTTGTTTCAGAATTGCTGTCACACGCTGGATTTTCAAGGCATCGAGGGTCTGCCATAAGGCTCTTTTTCTTCAGAAATATCCTTATCGACCTGCATTGCAAGATTCCTCCAGGAGGGAGAAAATCTGTACTCGCTGCTTCTAAACTGCATTCAGTTCCACCCAGATCACTATCTTTAGCCAACACAAGCCTCACAGGTTTTGGTTTCATACAATCCTGCTTCAGACCTTCTACACAATCTAGGAGAAATCATCGCCAGTGGACCTACCATCTCAGCAGATTTGGACTATAAAAATACAACGGTGTTTATTAACACTGATGCGCTTCCTTTTTCAAACTACGTGCTCGCTAAAATACAAAGGTTTCTTTTCCATTTCCTTCACACACAGGTATGTCCTCTTGCCCCAGGATGAAAATATCCAAACTTGAGATCTCATTTACTTGCCAATGAGTAAGCCTTTGGCACGGTTGCAAACTGGTGAATCAGGGAAGGGGAGGTCCTGTGGGTGCACAGCTCCTCACGATACTGAGTAACATGCCACTTTCTTATTCTTAGGTAACTGTTGGGAGGCAGCGACAGGATCTTGGAGCTTAAGGGCTGACTTTCACCAGTTTCTCTCTTACAGTTGGTCTAACAATAAGACAGAGATTTCTATTTTAGCAGTTATTTGTCTAATATTTTTCCCCTTAACCAAATAGGAAGATTTCATTTCCTTCCCTTCATACCTTCCTCTCAATTGTTATCTGGCTACCAGCAAAGATCTGTGAGAAAGTGTCTCAGATATAGAGATTTCTGGCATGCCACCTGTTCGTAACTCAAATACACAGAACTATATATAAATACATGACATAGAACAAAAATACACACACACAAGGATACTGGGTGGATTATCAAATGCATTGAGCGTGCTCCCTCTGAAGTCAATGAAAACCCAACCCAGAGCATCTGATGAGAGTAAATATGGTGAGGAAAACATACACATAAGGCAGGCAGAACTGGAGCACGAGCCAGCTCGGAGGAGGTGCTTTCCCTGCGTACAGTACCGCATCCCGGCTGCGAAGGCTCAAAGAGTTCATAGGGCAGGAGATCCTAAGCTTTCCAGATGTGTGTCAGAGCCCAGAGAGGGTCTGATGGACTTCTCTCTGCCCCGTGCTGATCTCTGCAGGAACAGCAACAATTGACCTTCCAAATGTCTCTTCTCCACTAAGACGTGGATTTTAAGCTCCTTTTAATGAGAGCTAGCATCTGGAAACAAGGAAGAGCAGCCAGCATCATGGCAACGGGCCAGCTCTGCTGCAGGCACCCCCAGCAAGCTCGTACAAGAGCAGTCCATGGGCTACTGTTGGTGGATGGCTCTGGGACAAAACTGTAGTTGCTGTCCTTGCCTTTTTCCCGACTGCCACAATCATCTGTTTGTTCATTATCTTGCGGTGGGACACTCAGGCACGTCATTTTTGAAGCTGGACTGGTACATTTTCATGCCTCTTTCTCGCCCACGCTGTCCCCTGCATTTACATCTACAGTGCAGAAGGGATGCTTAGTGCTAACCAGGACAATGAAAACTGGCCAAGAGATCCCACGGATGAATGCAGTCTGCCACAGCACAGAAATCACTCTGGCTGGCACATGCAGATATCTGAAAGTTTGTTCGTTTGCAGCAGGATTTTAAGATGATCCTCTGAGTTCAGACAAAATGACAAACTCATTTACATGTAAATTGCTTCCGTAGCTTTGCAGAAAAGAAGGTTCTGCCGAGCAGTGTTGGACCCTGCATTTGGACTGCCTAAAATTATAATATAACAACAATTATAATAATACAAATACTACTTTGTACACAAAGCACGCCCTCCCCTGCAAACACTGGCATGCTTCGGTAGGTCCTACAGCCCTCTAGTCAATAATCACCCTCTCTGCACAGAGAGACATTGAGTGACTTGCCTGAGGCCACAGAGGAATTCTGTAGCAAGTCCAAGGAAAGCTTTGTGCCTCCTAGCTCTGCTTCTTGACCAACATTAACCAGCCTCAAATATATGCAAAAAACATCAAAGCTGACTGTGCCAGGAAGAAATTAAATCAAAAAAACAAACAGAAAACCAGCCCTGGGGTACTGAGAGGCCTTCTGGACTTTGCTGTTTGATCAGGGGAGTTAAGTGTTAAAAGCTTTTGTTATACTTGTATTACAATCACACAGCAACTGCGCATAAATCGCCAAGTTGTCCAGTAGGCAGAAAGGGGTGGAAGGAAAGCTGTACCTCCCCTGACAAGGAGTGAAGAGTTGTCACCAAAAGACAATGGGCAAAGGAAGGCTGGGGAATATGCATCAGAAACAACCTGCACCAGCAGCAGGGAGTAAAGCCTGCGGTGGTTTGCTGCAGCATATCCACAGAGGCCAGCATCTCGATGCAGAGACACAACCTGACCCTGCAGGGAGGCCGTCTCCTCTGCACACCACGTTTTGCTCCAAGGAGGAAACCACAGGGATCTGGAGGAAACCACGGGGATCTAGAGAGGGTCTTCTCAAACTGATTTTGATGCTTTACAGTTCAAATCTATCTGAAAGGAGGGACGTCAGCAACAAGAGCCACCACAGCGAGGCTAGAGGGGAACATGGAGCTGCACTAGGGCACAAGCCTGCTGGAACAGGGAGAATAGTTGGCTTTATTGAGGCTGAGTCTCCTCTCTGCTATGCCAGGGCAGTGGAGATCTCCAATTCATATGCTTTCAAGCAGCCCTCTGGATCCTGCAGAGCTGCTGTTGTCGTCCCTGTGAACAAATGGTCCTTTCTAGCTTCCCAAATTCTGTACAATAGCAAGGAAAAAATACTTGACAGTATCTCTTTAAAGATAAACACACTGTAAACAGGAGAACTCCCCCGCCCCGGTAGCTTTCTTCCTCCTGCTTGTGCAAAACCAGAGGTTGTGACCTTCCCTGGGGTTCAGGCACAAGGACAGGATGCGCGAGAATAAAGTTGCCTCTGTTTGCAGTGATACCATAGCTAATAACACCAAGACCAACACTTAAAACATGCCTAATTTGAGGGCAGGGAGGATCTGGGTTTGTTTTTCTTGACTGAACTAGAAAGTTCATCTTTAAATCTGTTCAGCTTCAAGCATGTGAGCTTTTGGCCTCCTTTAAACAGGGGAAATACCATTCCGTTTCTGAAAAGAAAAAAAAATAGCACATGGAAGAACAGTTCTGCAGTCAGTAAAAGTTTGGCTAACAAAAGGACTCCAGAGTCACGTAAAGAACATTTAATCCATGGATTATAGGCTCGCACCTGGCAGAAATGTATGTGTAAATACAGGCGTGCAGAGCGTCTACACCCTGGGCTAAGGCAGAGGGGAGTTCTGTAGCTAGGAGAAAAAAAAGGATTCTTACTACTAATTTTCATAGTTAAATATTTCTCACTCGCACTCACACATACGCAGGCTGTTCCCAGAGAGCTCAGCCTTGGGAAGGATAAAGGAAAGGGCTCAGTTCGGTCTGGGCTGGTGCTGAGTAGCTCCTCTTCTGTTTGCAGTGGTTGTGCAGCAAACTCTTTTATTTGCAGGCAGAGTTTTTACTGCATTAATTATCCTGTGAGTCACTGGGTAATGGACAGTAACTTGGCTCTCCCAGTTGTTAGAAGGGTGTAATCCAGCTCTAATGCAGCGGGTTGTCGAACACGGCATCTGGCAAGATGGAAACTTTCAGTTTCTTTTCAGGCCAGCTGTACTCCTTTGGAAGTTTAAACTGCAAGACAGTAAAGAGAACCAGTTAATGTACACCACTGCAACCTGCACAGAAAAAACAAAATCATTGCAAAGGCAGGCAGCCCCATGTTATTATTATTTTTTGAAACAAGAGGCCACTAAGAAAACATTTCCCCATCAGTATGTTTTGGACAGCAGTGGACATTAGATAATGTGGCCTGTGCCTCAGCTGCCAAAGTAAAGTTCTGAGATTTCAGCCCAAGCGCTGTTTATTTCATCAGACAGATTCTGGAGGGTTTCTGCCCCCATCACCATTTCCCCTCCCCGATCTCTCTGAAAATTCCCAGCACAAGTTATCTCCCCTCCTACCGGACCACGTCCCTTTTCTTTCACCTACCCTGGCCCCCAGAGGCCCCCCGTTTGCTTTGAGGGGAGACTTAAGGCAGCTTTCAAACTCTTGCTCATACAGGGTGTGATGTGAGCTAACATGGCTCTGCTGGGTGACAGGCTTGCAAATGGCCACCACCTCTGGGAGGGCAAACTGTGCCGCCCTGGCTGGGGAGAGCCAGCATGCCTGAACAGCATTTCTGCTCCAGCCCTACCCACCTCTAGTACAAAGGCTTTGCAGAGCGCCCGTACAATGCCTCATATTCACACAGGCACTCGGCTGCTCAGGCTGTTTTGCAAACATTGACTGAAGCACAGGGAACAGAGATTTTTTGCCCCAGTCTGGTTTACACAGCACTGTCTCTGGCCAATGTTTCCCAAACAAGGCAAGCGCAATGGTCCCATCCTGATGTCGCTCCAGGGCACCCCGCCTTAGGCTGGGAAGTCACCCCAACATCCCTGATCCCAAACATGACCACGCAGGGACAGAGCTCTATGGAGCCTTACCACCAACCTTCTCACAACCATGTTTGATCAGAGCCTATGCATTCACACAGATCTCAAAACCAGCTCTGTGGGCGTGTGGGAGGTAGAATCTCTTAGGCTATGAATCTGCCCCATCCACAGCTGGATGGCAACCTGTTCTGCACAAGCATTTCATGCAATTCCAGTGCACAGCCTGAGGGTTCAAAACACATGGGGGGGCAGCTCTGGAAGCCAGTTTGCAGGATCATTTTGTTTTTAAAACCTGTTGTACCCATGTTGGAGCACCACCTCACACACTGCGATAGTCCCTGACACCCTGATGGGACTCCTAGGGAGGAATCTCATCGGGATCCCACACCACCAGTGACAATCTGACCTGGAAGTAGCTAATTCAGATTCTCTCAGCAGAGTCCTCAGATCAAGACCAGCAGTGCTGTAAGCTTGCCAGGGGCTATGTGAATTAGAGAGTTGGAGCAAGGGGACAGTGACCTGCAACTCATCCATCTTTATCCAATTACTTGTCTTTCTTCCCATGAGCACCCTGTTTCTGAAGGACACTACCTACACGCAGTGGCAGGTTCCTGCTAAAGGAGATCCCCTCCAGCTGCTTGCTCCACAGCAAGGGTGGCTCTAACATGAATTTGTTCCTGACCTTGCTCCATTTGCAGCTCTGTATGAGGGTAACCTGCAGTTGGTACCCATTGACCTTAGTATGCTGAGCCATGATCTCTGGGCACAGCAGGAGGATCCTTCAGGATAGTGGTTACCATAAACTCCCACTCTTTCTCCTCTAGGAAACATAAACAGCCCAAGTCTCGCTTATGTTTGTTTTTTTTAAATTCAAGCCCTGTGTATAGCTTGCACTGTATAATCTAGTGGCCGTACACTGCCCAAGGGGATTCTTCTGAGTTCAACGTCTAGGGTACGTGAAAAACATGCTAAAGGTACTCAGACAGATCATGTCACTTAATTTCACTTAACATGGGTGGCTCTTTATGCAGCAAACGGAAGACTCTCCTTGCAGCGCTTCGTTCTACCACATGAATATCATCAGCAACAGTCAGGGCTGCTAAGGAACGCCTTCAGTTGGCCCAAACTGGGATCCTGCAAGTTACAAATCCTTAGAGGCATCTAGATGCTGAAAGATCACATTTCATCTCAAGTATTTTCCTTTTTATAAACAGGAGTGGTTCCAAAGCAATCCTCTTGGAGAAGTCATCCTTTGCATTTGTTTGTTTTTCACTTTTTAATTTAGCAAAGTCACAGTAACTCGGAACCAAATGCCCGGCCGCTGTGCCAGGAGCTGCCATGCTCATTGCCTCTGCCTCTCAGCGGAGAGTGAAGGAATATGAGCCGTCCAAAGCCTTCACTAAAGGGCCTTCAAACCAAAGTGCTTCTGGGCTTCCATGTCACTAGCAAAAATGAGCTTTGGATTAGGTTTAACTGGATAAAAGCTGGCCCGAAAGTCACTGCACAGCCAGCAGCGTGCTCCCCTCACTCACACAGTGAAGAACACCCTGGCATTAAATCAACTCTGGATTAAACAATTAGAGCCCTGAGATTTTCCTGGGGGGAGGGGAGCAGGGCGAGGGATGGGAGGGCTGCTCGACAAGCCAAGGAAAGTTTCTTTAGAGTCTGCAGGGAGCTGTAAAAAATGGGATTAAAAATATTACATGTCATTTCTGCCACTGCTCTTTGAAGTCAAGCAGAATATTATATGGCATGCATGGGAGACAGGGTGTTAAATGTTCCCCAGGAAGAGATCACATGGCAGGGGGAAGTTTAGTACCGCACAGCAAAGGTTTATAAAGCTCCCTTGGCTGATTCTATAATGCTTCCAGGCTCGTGATGGTCCTCTGCACGCTCTGCAGGGGCAGCAGGTGAAGGCCAAGTAGCAGATGTGAAAAAGCCCCCACCTGCTCCCCAAACCCAAAAAAGGAGGCCCCTACAACAGATTGCTCAGCAGTAAATGTGCTGCCACCACTTTCAGCCTTTCTGAAAGCGGGGAAGGTGATGTGCCTGGAGCTGCTGCTGAGGACACTATGCACGGCATGGAGAAAACCTCTCTACCTGGCCCAGGGGGTGCACCACTTTGATTCGGGGCGCTCAGATACCATGCTGGGAAAGATGCTGGCGGAAAGGAAATGCAGTCTCCCTTAACACCCATCCCTGCCCTGTATTTCTTGCAATCCCTTCTCTCAGTGCCTTAGTTCACAGCAGATGTGAAGGTTTAGCAAGGCCTCAAGACTACAGGGCAGGGCTGCAGCCTGCGAGCTGAGGGGAGGATCAAAGGCAAGCTGCAGGACGGGCTGAGCTCTGGGACAGTACATGGGAGATATGGGAATGACGCAGCCTTACTTCCTCTGGAGAATTCAGATCTTCTAAATCTTCCAGCATTCTCTCTACAAACTCTTCGGTCAATAGGATCTGCAAAGGAAATACAGTAGTTTACACCTTTACCTTCCTAGTTTTAGCTAACTGCCAAGAAACAGAACGACTTCTGCAGAGAGCAGACTGTACCAGCTCACTCCTTCCCCTATGTCCTTCTTTCCCGCAATACAAAGGTTTGAGGGCAAGGAGCTCCTAACTTTGCCTCCCATCCCAACCACTGAAAAAAAATGTTAAAATTATACAGTAATCTTTTTTGACCCTCAATTATCTTCCTCAGTCTAAAATTAGAGGCTCGGCTTTAAACAGACAGAGTGGGGAAGGAGGAAAAGGGGTCAAGATAACAACTGTTGGAGAGACAGTGGGAAACAGACACTTTCATCTTGATCCATTGAAGTTAAGCTCACAGTTTAATCAGGAAACAGCAGCACAGGGAGAGCCTGAGACCCATACATAGCTGGTGCTCTGGGCACAGGCAGGGCTGTGACCCGAGCATAGCACATCGTTCAGATGAACCAGATGAGGGGTATGGGAGACGCTCCCACAGCAGTGCCCGCACTAGGCACCTCCACATTGTATTGCACGTGCCCACCCTGCGTGCCTGTGCTGGAAAGCTTTTGGCTCATCTCAAGGCCAGGCTGGCAAGCATGAAGTGGCCCAGGAAAGCGGCTGCCGATGGGTCAAAATTCTCAACTGAGGGCCATGACCCCAGCTCCATGGAGTCCCCAAGTCACACAAACCAGAGACACCAGGGGTGGATGGGGGGACCAATTCCCACCTTCTTTAAAAAAGCACGTGATAGCCAAAAGCAAACACGTCCTGCCTCTCTTCACAACAGCCGTAAAGGCCAGAGCTCCAGGCAGGCCAGCTGGCTTGGCACATGAGCAGAGACAGCAGTGTGGGACCAGGCAAACATCCCCATGCTGTGAGGGGGCCTTGGAGAGGCATTACCGGGAATTAGGTTGCAGCAGTATTCAGCGGATTATTCCCATTTCAGCCTACAGGTTTGTTTCTTCCCCCCTACTCCTCCTTTCCTTCCTTCGCTCCACCCTTTCCTCTGTCTCTGGCATTGCTTTCCATCCTGAAGAAGCCACCATCCCCATGCCTCCTTTCTCAC